TTTATCAGCTCTTTGCATAACTTAGTAGAGGTAAAAAAAAATCAAATTTATATTTCTAATTCTTACTTTATCAAAAAATGCAAATTCAGTAAACGTTCCAAGCTTTTGAGCTTCTGCCAGAGAAACTTCTTTAGAGACACTACGAGATTTCTTCTGTTGATATATTCAATGGATTGCATTAGTCATACTCCATAATATTGGTAATACAAGGTAATGGTCTGAGATGTAAAGGGCTTAGTGTTTAGACCATGATAAGGTAGTAAAATGCATGTTGTCAATCAGATGGATAAGGCAATCATCATTAAAGTGCGATGGTATACAACAGTGGGAAAACTGTTACCACCTGACACCTTATGTGGCAAAATAGATCATCATTTCAACAACAACATTATAATGGTAAAATATACAATTTTGTAATAAATTTTAAAAACTGTCACTAGAGTGATTTTCATTTCCTAGGAAACAAAGAATAATATCTGTGATAAACCAAAACATACAAAGAAAAGCATGCAAAACAAATAGTATAAAACCTACTGAGGTAAAGTATATATACAGGGTCAATGCAGAGTATCAAAAACGAAATTTAAGGACTTTTCAAGGACCAAAATTGTATTTTCAAGGAACATCATAATCATGCTAATTGTAGATAGAGATAGAGATCTATCTTTTTCAAGGAGTTTTCAAGGACTTTTTCAAAATTTTCAAATTTTTTAAAGGAGTTTCAAATGCCTTTGAAAACAAGCTTTCAATATCAAGCACTTTTCAAGGATATAAGGACCTGCACGGACCCTGATAATAACAATAACTTTACTTAAAAAAATGAAATTTATGTGATTGTACATCGAGTGAGGAAGTTGGAATAGTGTACATGTAGTTTCAAGCTGTCTACCATTTCATGGGTTAATAAAATAACCACTCCAAAAAGATGAGATGCAGGCAATCATAATTAAAATTCAACAATAATATTTTCCAAACCTTAGAAACAGGGTGTGGGGCTGTCCCTGAAGTGTTGGAGTTTCTTCGTATTTGAGACATTCTTTTAGTTGAGTTCATTCCAACTACAAAATACACAACATATGTAACTTAATTCAAGTTCAAATTCCAGTATTTCCCATTCCATATCTTACCTGCTTGCTTTTTGAGTGGAGGTGCATACTCATGTCTTCCTTGKCCACCAAGATGGCTCTGTATGCGACCAGACGCTGCAATTAATCCCTTAGAATGGAAAAAATAACTGGTAAGTAACTAATTTTCTTGCCTGACTCAGGGGATTATCAAATTTGGAAGGTGTCTGTTCTGAACTGTATGTGAAGGGGCCACAAGTGTTGCCATATTTTGGCAAAAGTAGATGTCCCAATAGTCAAATAGACGTCAGAGTTTGAGGGTTGCTACGCTTAAAATGAAATCCCTGCAGAGAATGATGGTGCATATAGTATCATTTTGGTGCAACTGTTTGATAAGTTCTTAGGCTACTTGCAGTCTTATAGTCAAACATCTTTGAGGAAACAAAAGCAAAATATGTGTATACAATAAACAAGCATCAACAAGTGTCAACATGAATACAAAAGATCAGAGAGTAAATTTTCATTGCACAAAACATACTCAAAATTGTGATTCATTAATTCAGAGACACTGTTAGCACTCAGAGCAAAAGATAAGAGGTGGTAAGCACAATTTCTGGTTCGCCTGGACAAATCTTCATTGGGATGGACATTTGATTAAAGTAAAAGATTCTTCAACCAGAAAAGCTTCTCCACATGTCTCCTCGACAGCATACCCACCCACCCACTTATTTAAAGGTACTTTGTGCTCTGGGCACTAGCCATGCATACAGATATATTCACCTGTGTTCGTACTGACTGACTGGATGGTGTTGTGCCATTAGCATCAGGGAGGAATTGGCTGAATTCCTTTAGCAAGTCTTCTTGGTTTTGGAACAGCTTTGCAACCTGTTTATAAACCTGTAATGAAGTCACACCATGACGACCTGACATTAGCTGTATAGCTTTATAGCATGCGTGAGGGAAGGGTGCAAGTTAATGTGCATTATTAGTTATAT